GCTTTGAGTGGAGTGTCCAGAAAAGCGCTATCTAAGTGTAAGCAATTATTAATTATTATTAATTTAAACAACTAATTTGAGCGCGTGAAACGCATGGCTGAGGGATACAAGCTAACCCCTTTAGGACCTGTAAAAACACCAAACTCGGGGGTGGGAAAAGATAACTCCTATTTTATGACCCCGGTGCGCAGGATCGCCAGCCGCCATGCTCCAGAAAGCCTCGGTGGACATCATCAGCCAATCGGAGTGCCAGCGCTCGTACGCCAACGGGCTGACCAGCAGCATGCTGTGCGCCGGCTTCATGGAAGGAGGCACAGACACCTGCACGGTATGACCGGGGCGAACCTCTCTTCTCCGGCACCCCCTCGTCCCGGGATAGTGAGCAACGCTCTTCCTCTCCCCCTCCCACAGGGCGATTCGGGGGGACCCCTGTCGTGCCAGGAGCCCTCGGGACGCTGGTTCCTGGCGGGGGTCACCAGCTGGGGCCGCGGCTGTGGCCGAAACGGTTTCCCGGGGGTGTACGTGCGGCTCACCGCCGTCCGCCAGTGGATGTCCCAGTACCTGCCTTTCTAGGACGCCCTGCCTGGACCTGGCTGCAATCGACGAGGGGGACGGACTACTGGGCAAGGGGCAAGGGAGCTCCGTGCCGTCACAACACTACCATCTTCGAAAAACAGCACACTAACACGATCTGAAAATGGACCGACCGAAGGGTTTCCCAATCACCTTTCATCCACATCCCAGTATTATTACAATTGCAAACCCTGAACAACAGTTGCAGGCAAATAAGAAATACTACCGGCTTATTTGCGAGTCAAGACTCATTATACATACTGTATAATATATATTGGCTGTCAACCCAACACCCAGCTTACTGCATAATAATACTGCTCTCTCAGTCAGCCACCCCCCTGGGCACTACACCTTGTCCCGTTTCTCTGTTTGTGTTCGAAAGGAGCGATGTGGAGGTTGTGATGCTCCACGCATGCTGAAAGCCCAGCCTGGAATAAAATTGAAGGAGGTGGTGATGATCTTTTCTAATACGGGTAATTCCTTGTCTCACTCCATCATCTCAACCGCACGAGAGAAGCAACCACCAGCTCATTCGCACTGTCTACCGTGCTAAACGAATCTGGGCGCAAACAGGCCGACACTATTTTCTGCTTAAAGCAGGATGTGAAAAGCTCCGCTTGTAATCCATTTGGGTTTTCAAATATCTTTAAAATTAAACACCATCTTGAGACACGAAAGTTTGATTCGATCTAGTGACCACACAAACAGAAATGCTGACAGAAAACAGTGGGTGATAACAGAAATGGTTCTGAAATGTCTTCTTTGCAAGTAGTACGTCTGTGCTGTTAGCACATCAGACAGAAAGAGATAACTCAGCTAAAAATTGAAATCAATGTGGGCTGCAGTCCTGGCACTCGGATAAAAAGCCAGATGTCACATCATGAACTGTACCATTATTCCGTTGTTACCTTTTCCAGCTTCATTAACTTGAGTTTGTAGCCTTTCTGGGCCCTCTGTAATACATATTCCTGGGGAAAATAACAAGGTCAATTATCCCAACACTGTTGGCATTTCAGTGTTTCTTTCCCTCCTGTTCATTCCTCTGCAGTTACGGCAATCCTCCATCTTAAACGTGTTCATTCTGTCCTGAACTAAATTAAAACAGTACCTGAAAATACCTTCCCAGCTTATTGTTTAAGCAGTTTTGTTCTTTTGCCTATATTAAACGCCAGCACAGCTATAGTGAAAACACAAGTCTGCAAAATCAGCAAATTGAAAACTAAATGTGCATTCAATTCCTGAAAAGGGGGAAATAAATAAATCTGCAGATGCCATTATTTTTTGGAGGGGGGGGGGGGAGATGTACTGTAACCGTACCGATTCAATGAACAGATGACAGGCACCTAAGTTCATTCGTTCCTTTATTCTGCAAAACGGTCGCGAAATGGTCATGGCCAAGATGCCTGTGCGAGCGACTGAGGCCGGCACTGAAAACAGCGTGGTCTGGGGACGACTGCAAGTGGGGAGTTGTGTCAGCATGAGGGCTGCTATAGAAGGAGGAGTGGTTCGCGCTGAAAAGCAGACAGAAAGACAAAGCAACGTTCCAGCTTCCAAGACTCCTACAGGCGCTGCCATGGGCGCCAAAACGTTGTTTCTTTCTACTTTTCAGCGTGGAACTGACCTCGGCGTCTCCCACCGAGTCTCCTCCGCAGGACTAGAAATGACCGTACGGGCCACCTAGCACTCAACAGACAGCCTGGGACCGACGAGGAGGAACACAGCACTGAAGACGGCATCTCGTTTGCAGGAGTGGGCCAGAAAAGCGACCAGATCAGACACCGTGAACGATTTCCCACAGAGCCCCTGGGCGACTGCACTGGAACACGCGGGAAGTGGTGAACCGTTCAGTCTTTCTTCCACGCCGCTCATCGGCCATGCTCTCGTGGCTCAAGGGTCAACAAAACTGAAAGGATCTGAAGGTGTAAAAACCCGACACATCGCCGTCGGTGCAGGAAGGCCAAAGAGCCTTTGTCCTCCCCCGCAGTTGAAAAGCACAGGCACGGCAGTCCAGGCCGGACGGTGTTGAGCGTTCCTGGGTGGGTGTCCCACAGCCTGTCTGTACCTCGAGCACGAGCCCAGGAAGGGTGCAGCATGGGAGGGCTAGATCCGCGCCCTCTCCCTCTGCAGCCGGGAGTTGTATGCCCGCGAGACCGTGTTCCACGCATCCATGTAGCGGTCCATGCACATGGCGATACATTTCTGCAAAGGAAAACGGCAGGTCAGTCTACCGCAGCTGGACCCTCAGGCCGCAGCCCCAGAGGTGCACCGGGTCTGCTAGACGCCAAACGGCCTGCTCTCATTTCTAACCCGATCTGAGCCCGGGTGTTCCCACGGTACTGTGATTAAACTCCCCCACCGATATATAAACGAAAGGTTCCCAAGGGACACCCCTGATCACCTGTTCAGAGTTGTCCAGCGTGCCGCCTGGCTTTCCGATACACTTCTTGAAGCACTTGTCCGTCATCCTCTGGAACAGAAAACCAGACAGCGTATTGAGAGTGACGTCACAGTGTGCTCTGCTACAACGACATTCAAAAGACAGGCCCTTCCTAAAGCAAACAGCAGGGGCCACTTGCTCTTGACAGGCTTTAAAGTGACTCACAGAGGGGTGACAGTTGTTCTGTATCTCCAAAAGTGTTGGGTCAAGGCAGGAAAAAGACACCTTATGGCTCAAAACCTCTGTCCTGCTCCGTCACCAGCACATAATAATAATAATAATAATTGCTTACACTTACACATGCGATAACTGCAAATCGTAACTGGACACTGAAATCGCACACTTCCTCTTTAAAACTTGTTAATACTGAGGCTTTTATTAATCCGTCCACATGGGTAATGTGGGGCGGAGTGGTGGCACTGTGGCTCAGGATCTGCGCCAGGCAGAGGAATCCTACTCCGTTGGGCCCCTGAGCAAGGCCCTTCACCCCAATTGCTCCAGGGGCGCCGTATAAATGGCTGACCCTGCGCTCTGACCCCCAGATTCTCTCTCTGTCTGTGTGTCTCATGGAGAGCAAGCTGGGGTATGCGAAAAGACAAATTCCTAATGCAAGAAATTGTATACTGTCAATAAAGTGATCTTATCTTAATGACCACCCAGATTAACAACAAAAACGTAACAAAATGTAAAAATTTACGATCCTGAATGAGATCAGCAAACCGAGATTCTTAAAGAAAGGCAAATGCCAAATCTCACGGATAACCTTTCCTTTTAGAACATGTTTTGTTTAAAGATATGTTACAGACCACATGACCTAGGACGCGAAACCCTAATACAAAGATTTCTAATTAGCGCTGAAAAATTGATTAAAGCGATCTTGAAACATTGCCAGCACCGTCTGGAGCTCTTTCGAAATGAAAAGAAAAGAGACACATCGCAGTGTCAGTCTCATGCACATTAATCATTTATGTTGTTGGATATTTACTTATTCATAACTGTTTAATGTATTCGATAAATAACGCATACAGTCGCAAAATAATACTGCATTAATCCAGTTGAATCGAAAACAGAGAGAAGTTTTTTGTTTAAGCCAACAGTGAATTTGTAGATAGTGATACTTCTACACCCGGCACACGGCCTGAGCCAGAGATTCGGACCCTGGGCTTTCTCAATCCTACCTGCAGCAGCTCCTGTGCGTTCGCCACGGCTATCTGCACTTTCACCTGCTCCATGATCGTACCGGTGTCCACCTTGCCGGAACCGGAGGAGACCGAAGAGAAATCAGACCCAAAGCTGTCCATGTTCTGACGGGTTTGATTCGTAAACTAGACAACCTTTAGAGGATCGAAATGTCCCACGTGAAAGACACAGACAGCCCCACTGAAGACTCCCTTCGTCCTTGAAAAGCGCCGGAAGTTAGCAAATAACTTCCGGATACAAGGAACTTTGGGAAACGTCGTTTTTGTCACCCGTGTAGTGATGCACTGTATCACATTGTAAAATATGTACTTTTGTTGTATATGTACATTAATTGACACCATAAAAGAATTAAAAATTATATGAACCAATATGTATATAAAACATTAATAGCAGCATATAATATGTTTTAGTGTTTATTAATTTAAATTTAATTTTAAAATGAACTAATTCATACTGAAGGCATTAATTCTTCAATCACACTGTATTTATATATCAAGGAACAAGTAAAGATTTATTCTGTGCTGAAGAGAGAAGAAAAGAAACGTTTCACCTGTGGACTGTCAAGCCTTCTTCGGGTGATTTCAGGTGTATTTATATATACTGAATATATATATATATATCCACTTGCGAGTTTATATGCGTCTTATATTGCTGTATAGTTCTATCAGATAATATAATGTAAAGAATCTTGAGTTAGATAGTTTCATTAGAAACATCTTGAAATAAAATTTTTCTAACACTTTTTCAAAGCAAGTTAAACTTGTATCCATTCATACAGCTGGGAATCAGACTGGAGTTGTTCCTAGGATTTAAACCCATTACATCCCACTTAAAGGGGCTTTGTCCTTATGAACACACCACAGCATTGCCAAGAGTAAAACAAGATGCTTTGCTATAAATTTTATTGCAAAAACAGCACCAGAACCATAATAACCATAATACCAGGTTTACAAATGTTTGACATCATGGTTTCATTTACTGTGTACTTGGAGTACATTAAGGATGGTGAGATGTTCGGTTTATTGCTGAAAATAATAGCTGAAGAATTCACTGCTGGATAATATAGTAACAGAAAAGAAAGCAATGGCACTGATCATTATTGGGCTCTTAAAGCTATGTTTGCATGAAACTAAAATACAGGAAGGATGGAATTTAAATGAATGTTAAATCTGAAATAATGTTTCAGTAATACTGTAAACATAACTTCTTCAAGAAAAAGGCCAATGCCAAATCTGACAAATAACCTTTAGATCACATCTTCTTTAAAAATGTTTTTTGCATTACATATCGCATGACCTGCAAGGCAAAACCTTAATACAAACATTTCTGTGTAGCGTTGTGGAATGGCATAAAGTGATCTTGTTTCTTCGTCACCCTTGGATCTGAATTTTAGTTTCTTGGGCAGCAGTTGTGGACAGAGGTCTCACACAATGGGGTACACTGCATAGTTGGCTATTCCACAGTGGTTTCCGTAGTTCCTGGCCAGCCGTATGTATCCTTTGTCACCCCACTGGCGACCCCAGCTGCAAACCAAACCCCAAAACACAAATCAGATCAATGACCAGGCTGGGAGAGTTCACTGCAACTTTAAGAGAGAAGCAATTCTAAGTTTACACTTGCTGGCAAGAGTGTGGGCATATGTGACATGCTCTAGAAGACGGAACATAAATGTCAAATGACTTTGATTGGTAATTGTGACAATTATGTACTGTTAAAAAGTAAAAAAAAAATGACTACTTCTTACCTGTTCTTCAAAATCCAGAATTCGGTGGGGCGTCTGTATGCAGATTTGAACAAAGAGACACCATATCCCACTGCCACGACTGCATGGTTTATAGTTTTGGAGCACTTTCTATCATAGTAAATTCCTGAAATGCAGATGAAAATAAGTTTAAGACAACAGTTTATGGATATATCTTGTTTGTTAAAGTTGTCACATTTATAAATTAAAAGTCTACTTAGAAATAGCAGGACAAACTAAAGTGCAGAGACTAGCCCCTTGCCTGTTATTTGCAGTCATTATGGACACACAGGCAGGTACTAGTTGAACAGTGAAGTTTAGGCATTGCTCAGCAATCAATTACAAGCAAAAGCAGGCTAGCAAACGTCACATACTGTACTTATAACGGGTTCAGTACTCATTGTGCAAACTCAACTAGGGAGCTGCGTCTGGGGAGCCAGGTGTGAGAGAGAGAGGAAAACCGGCAGCTGATAAAGCACAGGAGAACAAAAGCTGGGAGTGGAGCAGGAGAGGAGCAGAGTGGACACTCAGGTGGTGTGAAGTCGGGAGACTTTAAGAGGAATAGAAGGGAACGATAGACAGGGAAGGTGCGATCCTAGTTTCAGGATGATGTTGGTTTCTGACGTCCTTCTGCATTAAGGTTTCTGAAACCCCTCTTTGAGAACACGGCCGGAGAGATCAGTATGATCATGGCTGTTAGAGGTGAAATGGGGAACTATGGGCTTGGAAAAATTTGACCCTCACAGCCCCTGGTATGTTCCCTGAAACGTTCTCCCAGTCTCCTTCCTGTTTCACCCGTTGTGCACACTCTGTACCTGTACACACTCACCAGAACGGTAGAACTGGAAGGTCCTCCGACCGGCATCGAGGGCAACAGATATAGGCCCAACGACAGCCACCGCATCTCTGAGAGCTTTCTCATTCTTACGAGGAACCCATTTGAAACCTCTGCAGCTGGCAGCCTTCTGGCCTGGCTTATATCGGCATCCTCCATTATCCTGGCAAACACGGAATCAAACACAGTAACGTCCTGTGCTGTCAATACAACAGCCCTCTCAGCGAATTCCAAACATTTGAAAGCCGTAGGATCATGTAAAATGCCATTATAGAAAGGGGTGGTGGCATGGTGAACTTAGGCTGGGAGCTTACCTACCACCACAACCTAAAATGTAGAAAAGACTGGGACCCTCGGTCCTTGCCTCTGCCTGATTCCAAGTGTAACTGAGAATGACCATTCTCTCGGAGAATGGCAGGCAGAATGACCAGGCAGGCAGATCAGGTCTACCGAAAGCCCCTAGAGAAGCAGACGGCTGTTCTATAATGGGGAGAAATGAAGTTACCTTGGCAGTGTAAGGGTAGCTCTTGTCAGAGGCAATCCCCTTGTTGTCCTTGATGTATTTAAAAGCTCTGTCCATGAGCCCTCCTCTGCAGCCAAAGTTAATGTACTTTATGTTCTTGGTACAGTCCACCAGGTTCTGCTCACTCAGGGACACCAATTTGCCCGTCTTCCTGAAGTGCTGACCCTCCAGAGCTCCTACGGCAGAGAAGGCCCAGCAGGACCCACAGGCTCCCTGAGATGAGCACAAGTGTGGCTTCAATCAGCGAGTATTACCCTCTTGAATCATTTAGGAGGAAAATCCAATACAGTTTAAAAATTTAAAAAAAAACATACGCAATGATGCATAAAAGGAACAATCTGAAAATGGCTAAATGAGGTAAGCACGTCACTGATTTAAAGACCAACACACCTGGTTCTTGACTTTGGTAACATATCCTTTATTGCGCCAGTCAACCTCCCTTGGGGATCTTCTGAGGCTTATTGTCCAGTTGGAGACAGGAGTGTTCTCCAGGGACTCATCAGGACTAAATCCTGTCATCAGCTCATTGAACTCCTGCTGGGTCTAAAGGAGAGTGGTTGGAGATTATCGGACGAACAGAGGGGTTCATTTGGTTTGCTGTTTCACAGGGTGGCTTTTTGGACCGTAGTGAATAACTGCATACCCACGGCACCCGCCGAAAGAGTTTTTTCCCCGATCAAAAACCAAAGAGCACCGTCATTGTGCTTGCTAACCGGCTTTGTGGATTCGCATTAGTGTGCGCCCAAGTTTATGGAGAAGACGTCTGTTTCGCCAATTCCATTTGCAGCTAGGAGACAGATTTGTTCTTGGATTTGTTACCGAGATTGCTCAGTAAAGTCAGGTGCTTGCAGTTGGAATCTGAGGGGTATGTCATGTCTTTATTTGTTACTTCGATGTGTCGGGAGCACAATGGGCTGTGCGAAATTCTCAGCGGGTTCGTGATTTTGCCGTCTTACCAGATCCCCGAAGTGATTCATGCCCAGCGTGTAGCTGTGATTGCCCTGGGAGTGTTCCAGGTTGTGCTGCTCGATGAAACGCAGGTTGTCCTCCCAGACCTTCCTCCTATAGCCTTCCTCATCCTCCACAAAAAAACAACAACAGGTTAACAGCAACGTCAAGCAGTTGGTAGACAACACTGTTGAACACCATGGTGAACGAAAGTGGAAAACAGCGATACTCCAAATTCAGAAACAATATTGTGGCATTTTCTAATGATAACCAAATCAGCTATTTCATAGGACATTTTAAATGGTTCAGTTTCTCAGTTGAAAACATAGGCACACTGACAAACTGTGCGATTTCCTTGGACACAAAGTACCTCTCTATATTGTCTCGCATGTGAATTCTTCCAGGCGTTCCAAGCGCTGTTTAGTTCAGGGTCTTGAGGCTGCATGGAGGACATTGCTGTCCCAAAGAGCACCAGCAGGACCAGAGCGGCCATCTTCGTCTCAGTCTGCCCCAGAGATCAGGCACCTGCCTTCTGCAACACACGGGGCACTTTAAAACAAGCAGGAGAGGCATCTCTACCCAGTCCTCTGTGGACATTTACCTTAGTTTATGTCACCCTGTAGGACCGGGGGGTCTCAGTCTTATACAGTAGGTCCCCCTCATTCACCTGTATTTAATGATTAACAACACTGGGAAGTGAGACATCAAGTACTTTTTTTCAGTTAAGGGAGCTCTGGTCCCATAAGAACCTTTAGGGAATGAAGATCCTTCCGATTTCTGTTACAAATGAATTACCTATAAGTTCAATTGTTCCAAATCGTTTGAAATTGATGATTTAATGGCTGCCTACAAACCCTGCTGGATACTGGATTCCATTTGTTATCATTTACTATGGTAAATGTATTATTGTATTCTGATAGTATACAATGGAGCCAAGGTATGAACAAAATGTGATCCAAATTTACCATGCAGATTTACTATGAAAAAGTACTCCAAAAGGAAGTTCCAGCCTGTGCATTTTAGAGACATTTTTAACCCCTAATTTATGTCAAGATAATGACAGAGATATTGCTGAAACTTTAATCGTACTGCAAGAGAAGCTATGAAACACATTAAAAAGGAGCATTTTTTAAGAATATGCATTTGGAAATTTTCAGAACCCTTCTGGTTACAAATATAGACAGAAGAATGCTTATCTTCCAAAAGTAAGTCACGATATTAGTTTTTTTTAAATTAATTTAAATGCAATTGTTATTGAAATGAGAAGAGTATGCAAATAACAAAACAAATGAAAAACTCAGTACAATTTGACAAGCACAGTTGATTTGTAGTAGAGTCCTGGTTGAAGAGCTACTCACCTGTGTCTGTTTCTGTGTCAGACACACTGGACCGAAGACCAGACACAAACCAGAGTCTCACACAGGCTGCTTTTATAGACAAGGGATCAAACTGGCAAACCTGTTCATTGGTCCACACTAATGCCTGCTGTCTACTTGTGGTTTTGGTGCAGTTCCCCATTTCTAAGAAAAGCAAACGTGACAAAAAAAAACATCACAGTCCTGTGTTAATTACGTGACATCCACACAAAAATACATGTTTGGGGAGCTGGGTGCAAGTTGCAAAGGATAAGGCAGAGGTTAATTCCACACTGAGAAGCAGACTTCCATCTCAAATGTATACGCTGTGCACTGCAAAGGGTCAAGGGCATGAGTTTGCATTCTCAAATGAAAAAAATATGAAATTGCATCAGTGCTAGTGGTCCAAAAGCACACTGTCAACTACTGCACTGCCTTTCCATCTGAGACTGAATCCTGTAAGAAAAAGTTACACAGAAGCCATCACTGTAAAAACTTCATGTGTTGTACAGTATATGTATCAAATACAGACGAGATGAAACAGTCTGCTTTGGCATCACCAGCTCGATCTATCCTTCACCAGAGGTTTTGTCCTGTAACCCAGTACTTCTTCAGGATAGCGGGACAGCTGTGATGATCAGCCACTGCCGGCCTGTGGCGACTGTAATGGTTCATCCTGTCTGTACCAGAGCCAGCATGAGGTTTTTATCTGCTGCCTCCATCATCTGTTGTGCCACTGACTTTCTATCTCTGCTGCTGATCCCCAACTCTCCGAACATCCACCAAAGTGACTGGGATGGAAGACCACAGCATCCTACCTCTGCTGGAAACGACCAGACTCTCCACCCTTTGCTTCTGATGTTATCCACAAGCTCAGCGTACCTTTAATACAAATATTGTGTTATGGATAGTATTAGGAATGTGCATGCCTACTTCAGTCAAATTAATATAGTACATATACTGTACCAAAATGCATTTTCTAAATGTACATCATCAATCAACATTCACTTATTTACACAGCCTTAAATGCTGTATTCTGAGACATGATGTTCTTTACTATATACAAGGTACTATGTATGGTAGTGTGATTTTTGAATTATATATTAAACTCTGGGGACAGTCCAAAAGTGGCATGTGTTTCGCTGTCATCATAGTGCAGGAATTTGAAAAGCATGTTGTGATACATTTAGATAAAGACAGGTACAAAAAAGCTGCAGAAATATTGTGTGAATTCACGTTTGTAGGCTGCAGGGGATACTGCCCAAGTATGTTTTTCAACCACAAAATGTTGGGACAAATCTGCTGAAATATCGCATGACAGCTTGAACCTTATATTGTAATGTACTGTATTATACTGTATAAACTGTCTACATACGGTCTCAAAATAGTTACGTTCCTAAAACATGTTAAATTCTTTAATGCAATTTCTGCAGTGTCAGTTTCACAAGAGCTCGAGATAATATGGTGATATTTCCTAGTGCGATAAGTGTATTTATCTTAGTAATTAACAAACAAAGATGCTTATCGCAATAAACAAAACCGTTGCTGTCTGTTGTTTTAAAAAAATATATTTGCTATTTCTATACCATTTAAAGATGACATTTCGTTTACCTTGTGCTGTACTATAGATTCATTTTTGCTTACTAAATGAATCCCCATGTCTTACCAGTCATTCTATTACCCAGTCTGCAATTTCGATTTTTGACAGCTGTAAATGCAACCGATTTGAGGCAACGAAAAAATGAGCCAGTGCAGTTGTGTGACTGTAGATCTGTTTTTATTCAATGGGGTGGTTACGTTTCGGCAAAACCTGACTGATTGCGCCTCTTTCTGTAGCCCAGGGACCAAAAAAAACAAGTTTTATTCCAGGCGACTTGGAAAGTCCCTTTGACTCAGGTGATAAATATTAATAAATATTCACTGCACGATCGGTCAGTTCTTAGAATATCTCTGGTAGAAACTTTGTGCCAAATACAATTATACACATCTGTCAGCTGTGGAAATGACTCGCTTCTGTTAAAAGAAGATAATCACGACCTGCGAACAAGGAACGTGGTTAAATTGGATTTCTGTTGCACGCAAATTAACGACACATTAATTCAACGAAGCGGGTTATTATCAATCCAAGAAGATATTATGAGTTCAGGGCCTCAGAATAACGGTTAACCAGCCGACCGGAGAGCGCTGACGTCCATTCAGGGAGTTATTTCAATAGTTAAAGCGCGAAGCTGCACAAAAAATGCATTTTTTATTATTTATAGGAAAAGGAATAGGAACTATGACAGGAGAATTCCCTCGGAAATTAGACAATAGTGGACTCCATGTTCAATTCGTTTAGCACAAATTCTGTACTACCGATATTGTTTTCAGAAATAAAACCACATTATAGAGTTTATTAACCAGTGCCGCGGTTTCATGGGTTTAATTTGGATACAAGTTTCAAATGCAGGCAAGTATGATAGATATTACACAGATCACGAAAGCTAGGCTTGCAGTTTCTCAGGAATCAACCAACGGATAGGCCCTGTTTGATCTCTGGGCCCCCGAGTTATCGGTTAAGGTTAAGCGTAATAATGAAAATAAAAAAACGTCATGCTTACCTGGCATAGGTATTATGACGTCACAGCGTAACCCTTAGAAACGGTAGCAATATTCTAAAATCATTTTCTGCGAGAAAATGAGCGAGACGGTAAGGAAATTCACGCTCTCCTGTTGCGTTATATTATATTATTAATTTATATTCAATAACGGGTATCTAAAAGTTAACGAATTGTAAGAAAATAAAAAGAATTAAGTGAATCCACGAAATTAAATGACTTGACCAATCAGCTCGACGTTACAAATTCTTCTGAGCGCTTCGCTCCACCCACAAAACATTAAGGAGTAGCTTACTAATACGAAAACCACAGCGAAAGTGATAATTTAGCGAAATATTATTATTTAAAACATAAAATATGCTACAATGGCATGTACAGGACTTATTTTTCAATGTGAATTATTTACACCAGTGTGATCTGAGCACCGTTTTTCTCCTTTGAACAAAAACAGGTGAGAACAGCGGATTTAATTAAGGCCGGCCTATTGGCATAATAATACATTCCTCCTATTTCTATCTCTCATCTCAAAGCACTTCACATCTAGAAGGGAACCTTCACCAACCGACTGTAACAATATATTGGTATTCCAAGCATAATCAACTGAACCACAAGTTTGAACATGGTTAATTAAAAACACCTCAAGCATGCTGCTGTTGTGATTTCATGTGCTTCATGTGATTTATGTGACTTGTATGTTTTGATGGAGTGTCTTATACTTTTATGGGAGAAGCCCAAGACAAATTTCCCCAGTAGTGGACAATAAAAGTATCTATCTAGTGTAAATTAGGTTGAAGTGGCGAGGGCTGAAGAGTTGATGGGTTAAAGAGCTCCACAAAACCCGCTGAATTCTGGCCCTCTGGGATCCGAGTTTGGGGCTGCCCCACTGCACTGATCTGTCATTTTGAACACTGATGGCCCACTCTGTGTCACTCCCCATCCCAGAAGAAGAGCAAGAAATTCCAGAAGCAGGAGGCCAAGCATGCGACTGTAAAGTCTCAGCTGTCCTCCCTGCAGAAGGACTTACAGTGGTGTCTGGAGAGACAGAAGGTGGAAGGCGTCGCTGCCCCAAGGGCAGCCAAGGTCAGTGTGGGGTCATGTTGGTGTGGCATGTGGAGCCCCAGAGGTGGGGACTGGTGACCAGTCACACACCTGACCGTTTCTACCAAAGGCAGCCTTCAGCAGGAAGGATGCTTCTAGGGATGCAAGCAAAAAGTCAGTTCATTCTTCTTCCTCCTCCTCACTTTGTGCTGTGCTTCTGGGGAGAAAAGGCGATGTTTTTTTTGCCAGTTGCCTTTACCCGTTTGATGTGGCACTAGAGCTTGGTCCGACAATGCCATTCCCCCTCTTACCACAGGGACAGCTGCCTCCTTTGAAGGGGATACGCCCTCAGCGCCAGCTGAAGGAGGTCCGAGATAATCTGCTCAAGGGGCTGGAAACCCAAAGGAAGCAGATTCACCAGCTGAAGGCTGAGATTGCAGACAAGGCGCAAAAGCTTGGGGAGCCCAGTGAGGTGAAGACTCCATTGGTTTATGCAAGAGAGAGTGGTGTGGGGCAGAGGGGTGGCTCTGCACCTGTGGCTGGAAGGTTGCCGGGTCAAATCCCACAGCTGGCAGAGGAATCCTACTCCGTTGGGCCCCTGATCAAGGCCCTTAACCCCAACTGCTCCAGGGGCGCCATAGGCACCCCACGCTTCTCTCTCCCTGTCTGTGTGTCCCATGGAGAGCAAGCTGGGGTATTTGAAAAGACACATTCGTAATGCAAGAAATTGTATATAGCCAATAAAGTGATCTGATCTTACTTCTTACAGTTCCAGTGCAAATCTCATGTATTTAAGTTAACTTCAGTACTTCCTGTAGACCAAACTAGTTATATTTCCGAACGCATATCCTGATCCTGTATATATAGTGATTTCTAGTGCATGCTTGTTTTAATAAGACCATATGCTAAATCTGTATCATTCTCTCTCTTTTTTCAATTTAGAGTACAGATAACGAAGATGCAAAGAGCAGCAGCTTCTTGTCTTCTGACAATACCATGTATCACATACCTGATCTCCCCTATGATGATGGTACAGTCTGATTTAATCACTATTAAATTACAAGGACCTGGTCTAACAGCTTCAGCAATATGGGTGGATTGGATTAAGTTTTATTTTTTTAAAAATGATCCAAAACGAACTCAGATAAGAGCAGATGACTCTAACGTGTGCTAAAATACTCATCGGGCCACTTGTTCCCTAATCTAGTCACAGAGTTTGATTCAGATCTGTTTAGTGGGGACATTTAAAAAGAATGTAAGAAGATAGAATCCATTGCACTCTCTATCTAATCCAGCTCTCCACCCACCACAAACACATACAAAATTCACCAAGTTCTGCTTTATTTCTCTGGGGAAGAATAGTGACAAACATCACAACCTTAAGATAACTGCTTATCAAGAGGTGCAAAATGATCTGGGGCTTTAGTTTCTTTGCATTTTCATCATTCTTTAACACAATTAAAGTCGTTATCATGGTAACAATTATTTTTGCCCTCTGCAGTTCCATGTCGCATCGTGGATCTGGACTATGAACCAGACTATGTTCTGCAGGACCAAGGTACGGAAGAAATCATCCATCTGACACTGATAGAGAAGGTGTTAAATTACACTGACAAGAGAAGGAAAATATATCGTTTTGCACCAAATGCAGTATTCATTGTAACTTGTAGCATTGTAGCACTGTGGCATTTATCCATCAGATATTTGCATTAAGGATGTAGTGCACAGTACTTATTGCGAACTGACACAACTGAAATGAACGTGCACGATATTGAAAAATACTCTTGTTCAATTTTTTCTGCACAAACTGGGAGCAAGCTGCAACACATGCAAACATTTGATATGGATGAAATACTAAACACAAGAAATCAGACGCCATTTCTCTGTCTTTCAAATTTTTTCAGCAACCAAGCTGATGAAGATCATCATGCAAAGGTGCTATATACTTAATAGAAACAGAATAGCAGAAGTAATTTTGCCATCTTGTGGTTTTGAATACTGCTGGCAGATCCTTCATTTGCTTTTGGGTTTTCCTTAGCCCCAGCTGTGAGCCAGGATGCCAAGACAGATGCCCGAGTGGTACCAGATGTGGTGCCACCACCTGCTGATGTCAAGCAGACTCTCACCCAGTCTGCATCCCCACCCAAAACCAGCACAGCGGGCATCGTGGGGGACAAGCCCCCGAAAACTACGATTGCACCATTACCAGTTCAGGTACGCCATAGATTCACTTGTAAAAGGCCATCAATAATCAACGCATCATCAACACATCAGTGCTGCACTGAGACCTGATGCTAAGATGAAACAAACACTCAGTTCAAATCAAATGCAAAAACAATACCATTTGCATTCATAAATGGCTCAGCTACTATTGGGGACAGCTTCTAAAATCAGTTTTTTATTTGTGTGTGTGTGGATAATATTTAAACCAACAGTGCAAATATGAACTGAAAAGGATTTTCAATTGATGTTTGCTTCATTGAAACTTTCCCAAGTGAACGTTTTTACACGGTCAGCCACAAGATGCTAGAAACACCCATCTATACCGACAACACCAAGACCGCGCAGCCTGTGTTCGCTTTCAGTGAAAGCTGTGAAATAGACTGCCAAAACTCCGCTTTTGCCTCAAACAGGCTTTAACATAAAAGCCTTCATACTCCGCTTCATGTAGAAAAGAAATATCAAGTTCAGAATGTTTTTGTAATGAACTTTTTGGGCCTGTTTTACTAACCATCGAATTAAAAAGACAATGCAGACTGAAGTTTTCCAAGAGGCTAAACACTAATAAGGCAACTTTGCAGGTTCACCCCCAGCTCTTTCAAAAGAAGGCAAAGAAGGCTTGTTTGTCAGAGCTGTGTTCATGGTTTTAAGACAGATCTCGCATTCATTCTTACAGGGTCTGCACCAGGCACCGAAGGATGGAAATTTGGATACGAAGAAGGAATCCATCGATAAAGCTTCTGTGTGGGGGCAGGCTGAACAGGACTGTCAAAGTGAGAAGCAGATCTTGGAATCGCAGATTGCCCAGGTCTCCATTGCACTGGAGAGGGAGAAGAAATCCTGCAGTGAATTCCGAGAGAAGCTGCAGATGGAACAGTCCCGACACCAGGTGCAGAAGGCGAAAAACGATCAGGCCCAGCAAGCACTGAAACAGGAGAAAACGGCCAGCAGCAAGCTCAGGGAAGAACTTCAGGAGGTGAAGAAGAGCGAGCAGAAGAAGGAGGCTGAGATTAAGCAGCTTACGGCAGCTCTGGACAAAGTGAAGGCCATTCGTGTGAAGCTTGAGGAGGACCTGAAGACGGAGAATATTCGTTATAGAAAACAAGCCGGGTTCATGCAGGACAGGGACTTCAAGATCAACCAGCTTTTGGTGGCACAGGAAAGCAGCCGAATTGCAAAGGAGAACCTCACTGTTGCCCTGAAATCTGAGCAATCCCGCTGCAAGGATCTCATCTCTGAGAACAAAGCCAAACAGCTGGAGATCCAGGAGCTCTCTGCCGCACTGGAACACGAGAGGATTGCCAGGCAGATCCTCGAGAAAGAGATGCAAGGTCTGAAATCAGAACAAGAGACCAGACAATCTGAGGTTCAGAAGCTCTCTGCAGCTCTGGCAAGAGACACAAGTGAGTGCAAGAACCTTACTGTTGTCCTGGAAGCAGAACAGATACTTAGTCAGAACCTTTCTGCTGAGCTGCAGGAAAAAGAATCCAAGATCAGCCAGTTGGTCTCGGAGCTAGAAGAGAGCAGAAAGAAGCTTCAGGAGGCAGAGAAGCATCTGAACAAGAGGCTTGCAATGGAGCTGACAGAGGAGAAACACACCAACCAAAAGCTCAAGGAGAAAGCTGAGGCTCTAGCCTCTGAGCAGCAAGGCAAGGAGGAGGCCATCAGCCAACTTCATGCAGCATTGGAGGAGGCACGGAGCGCCAACACCAGCCTCTGCGAGGCGCAGGAAAAGGAGAGGTCTCGTTACCAGATCCACATCGTCGATGCCAGGGACCGCCTGGCCAAGACCAAACGGCTTCTGGAGGCCGAGAAAAAGCAGTCCGCTGAGCTCTGCAAGGCCATCAAACAAGCTGAAGGCTCTGGAGCAGAGAAGGTCCAAGGGTGGCAGCAGGTTATCGCCTGCAACGAGGGTTTGCTAAAGATGTACTCCGAGCTGGCCCAGGAGAAGCACCAGAAAGAGCAGCTAGAGACCCTCTTGAGAGAGATCCAGCACACAGAGCCTGCTGGGAACCAGCAAACCAACAACAAGGATTCAGCAAAAGACCATAAGGTAATATTACGAGTCTCTTGCTCTCAAAGCATTCTTCAGCAGATTCAACCTCAGCCTCTTGTGGTTATTCTGGAATGATAAAATACAAGATGCATGTCTGGAAGCTTTGTGTGTGAGTGATTACAATTGCAGACGTTTTGCAAAGTGCTCTATAAAAAAGGATTTATCTTAGTTTAGAAAGCCATTCTCGATCTAGTTTTGAAAGCACGTGGTACAATTCTCATGCCATCTTCCAAGCTGCTGAAACACCATGGTGCCATGCATTGCTTAGCTCTACAAGGGACTGGTATTATTAAATTTAATTTTAAGCGGAAAGATGAATGGCTTTTTTTATTCAGTTAACTGAACCAAGTTTCCTTTTGTACCAGGAGAAAGAAGAGAGAGCCAGGCTCCTGCAAGAGATCTCCCAACTCCAGCAAAGCCTTCAGGTCTTTGAGGAAAGAGAGGAGCACTGGAAGGAGCAGAAGAGCCTGGAAATGGCACTGAAGGAGCTGAAAGACAATGAATATCAGGTAAGATACCTGGTAGATTCCTTCGAATTTACTATCACTTTGTTTTTGAAAACCTATCACCCAAGGACCAGAAAGCAATTACCTGTAAGTTCCAGGATTGTTTACTTTGTAGTTGTTCACTCATTCTGGAGTCTGAGTTTGATATCAGTGCGTGATGTCTCATCAGACTCTACTGTAGCGCCCTCAAAATGAAGAGTCGAAGCATCGCCTTCCTTTCTTATTTGTGTTGCAAAGAGATCTGCGCGAGGCTGTTTTCTTGGGGACAGGCCAAAGGAGGCAAACTCACAAGACTGTAATGTAGAATAAAACCACTGAAAGTTCTCTTCAGTGGTGGAGAGGGTACCACCTGATAGCCCGATTGTGTCAGAGTTTAGAAGCTAAGCAAGGCTAGGGGATAGGAGATAGGAGATGTCCAAGGGAAAGCCCAAACTCAATCCTTCGGAACCTCAACTTCCACAGTAAAGCCAGAGCACAGGCCGTGGGAGGGACACTGTGCTCTAGGAGGTACTGTTCTTTGGATGAGATGTCATACCTTGGTCTAGACTGTTTGGTTATTAAACATCCATTGGCACTGCTCAAAGAGTAGGGCTGTTAGCTCCATTGTCCTTGCTAAACCCCAATCTGGTCTTCCTGAAGCTCCCCTCAATAGATTTGATCAAGACATTGTCCATTTCCCCCCAGTCTGCTCTGCAGTGGGGCTGCTGGTATCACCTGGGTAGGGCTGCACTTAAATTGTGGAGGGAATGGGTCCCCCACCTATATCTAAAAATGTGACCTATCCGCCCCCCCACAGGAGCAGCAGAGGAAACTCCAGGGCCAGCTGCAGCGAGCCGAGTGGGCCAGGGAGTCACTCCTGTTCCAGAAGGCCGTTCTCCTGCGGCTGCTCAGCAAACAGGAGCACTGCAAGAGGGCGCTGCCCCCGCTCGTCGCCCAGTTAGCCCGCCTGGCTGGCATGGAGGCGTCTGACCCTGATCTGACCGTCACCCCCACGCAAAAGTTTAGATCAGCGGCCTGGGCCATCGTGGCAACATTAAGGTGCGTGCAACACGAGGGAAGACATCTCAAATCCCCAAGAGCAAAAGAGTCTACAGAGGCAGGGCAGCTCAGTCCTGCAGGTTTTCAAAGTCTCTATAAAACATTCCTGCTCAACATCCTGAGATGTGTCAATTCTGGGCGATTACATAATGAATCCTAGCTACTAATTAACAACTGGCAGCATAAAAACGGAAGGTGCCGACTGAAGGCTCCAATTATTATAGTGGATTGTCCATATTGTTTTGGGGGGGTGAGGAAAGGTACATCACAAAACAGACTTGCTTTGGTGGAGAGGGTGGAAGAGTCGGCACTGATGTATACCTGCAAGCTGGAACAATAGTGTTGGGAAGCTGATACTGGCTGTTAGCCCATTTGCCTGTTGTGTTCTTCCTTCAGGCTGAAATCAGCAGTGGCTTGCTGCAGTGAATATGGGAGAGGAGACATTGGAAAAAAAACGGGTAAGTACAGAATTTGAACAATACTACTAATTAATTACATTTACTGTATATAGCTGTTGTCATCACAGAGAGCTTTACTTATAGGAAGAGACTCAATTTATCCTCCCTTGAATTGTGGGACTCAGCAGATGAGATGGGGGGGGGGAGAAACTACAGCAGTAGGGGAATTAAGGGGGAACTTTAGGGGGGGGGGTTGGTTTTCACAAGCTCAGAGTGGAACTGAGCCAGGACCCCCAGATTATTAACACCCCTGCTCTTGCACACAGAGCTGTGTTTGATCTTCAAGGAGCTGTGTGGGGTCATAAATGAGCCCGTGGTCAGGATTCTCATCTGCATGAGCAGAGTGTCTGGTCACCATGCTGGAGCTTTGGTTAATAAATTCTGGGGCAGAGGGAAAAGAGTGCCACATACTTACTGGTCCACTAACAGCAACCTGATGTTCCAGAGGGGCCTCAAATTCCAGTGCTGACCAGGCCCAGCCTGGCTTTAAAACTAAATGTTAAAAATTGGAATGTTACATATTGTTGGGCCATTGCTAATAAAATTTCAAAAACCAGAGAATCTCCCAGAATAAACACCAACACCTTTTCCCTTCATGTCCAGCCCCTCCAGAAAATGATCTGCAGGCTCTAACCCAGAGCTCCGGCTCCACCACCATGTTCCAGAAGACCGGAGATACCCCAGTCACAGCAGAGATCTGCTCATTGGCAAAGTAGGTAGGACAACGAGCTGAGCCACAGCCGGAACTCAGACACCCAAAATTAAAATCTTGCAAAACTGATAGCAATGACATCCACTGACATGCTTAAGCCTATGAGACATACAATGATTAGGTAAACATACAACTGGTGACCCAACAGATAGATAGATATAGATCTATACAGTACATGAAGTCTCTGAGTTACATGCTAGTCATTTTGGTGCAAAAATATGTTGCCAGCTGATGAACTGAACCTCAGTACTACTCACTGTCATTTCAGAGTCCCTCCAAGTTGCCAATTCTGAACCAGAGAAGATCTTCTGGAAAGAAGATATGAACTTTATTCCTGCCAATTGGAAATTCATAGTTTCCATTTGGAGGATACCCCAGTGTATCCTTAAGTGTGGAAGACTTAAAATAATTAACTAATGAACAAAACTATTTTCACACAACATTTTTAACATTTTCTGTGCGAGGACTGTACGAGTGCACACTTCTGACCACCAGATGGCGCTGTGCGCCAACATTTCAAGCACAGCTACGCTGCAGACGGTCAGGTGTACCCGTGTACATGTGCTACACATGTGCTGCACATGGAGGTTTTCTTGCTGGTTTTAATATTTAAAATATATACTGGAGATTCTTAGGAATTGAAATAAGGCAATAAGTGCAACATATTCATGTTATTTATGAAATATTTATTTGAAAACAGACAGTCTCGGTCATTTTAAACCGAACGGATAGGTATTCTATACCCTTGTCTGATTTTGTGACATCTTATTGATTGAACAAAAAAAATAAAATTATTTCTAAAATCGGTTTCTCCCTCATTCATTTAGGAGCTCTTTGTTGTACTGTTGAATATCAATGACTCTTGATTCCTAGGTATTTCAAGTGAACAGATGTCTCACCTGAGTGGTCATATTATTAATAATGCTGCTTACAGCATTTTGCAGACAGAAAGAGTTTTGGTGCCTTAATATGCTCTGGTAGGCCTCTTTTCCCATCCAGCGGTAATGCCAGGTCAGTGCTCCTGTGGGTGAGAAAGGCTCTCTCACTGGGGGCTGTGAGTAGGGTCACGTTCTGGGTCTCTGCTGCTTCAAAGAGCAGTCCATGTGCATCTGCTGTGGTTCCTGCTTAGTTCACTTCAGACTCTTTGAGTTTCATGCTGTCCCATTTTTTTTGTTTTGCTGTGCTGTGGCCAGAAATCATTTCCACTGCCCGATCAGCACTGCATCGCTTGCAGAGACGGCTGGACTTCTCGCACTCTGGTTTATTTCCTTGTAGGAACCTCGTCTTTGCACTGTACAGTATGTGCCACTTTTGCTTGCTCTCAGCACTGCGTTTTGTTGTGAGCGGGTCAGCCAGCATCCTCTGCTCGGACTCTCTGGTGTCTCCCCAGGCACCCGCAAATCAACAGAACCTGACTTGCTTACTTTTGTGCCCTGTCAATTTTGAAAAGAAGATGGCAAGAGCCAAGGGAACAATCAAGGAGGCTAATTAAACAAGTTTTGCGGGCGGGAAAAGCCACTGGACCGCACTTTCCTTCCAAAAGATGAAATAAACCACAAGAGCTTTATCTGCACTGACAAGGGTTGGAGCTCAAGCATTCCTAAACGTGGCATTCAGAAAGTTCCCCGAACATGCTCGGTTCACTCCGCAGGCATGCCCAGAACGCCAGCCCTGAGTAATAGGTCTACAAGCAAGCTGCATTCCTTGTGTGCCTGGTCAGGCTCTGTCACAGCAAGCCTCTTACACTGGAAGCATTATGAAAGGACATTGGAATTTGCACACTGCCTCCTACAGTGCACGCTGAACACCCTATTACTAAAAGCTGTGCAATTTAAAGCAGTCCCATTGCTCCACCACCCCAGCTGTTCCAAAGGCATTACTTCCTGCTACATACACAGTCAGAGTTTCGGTGTAGCAAAAAAAAACAAAAAATGTATTGCCTGAAGGATCTTGTGTAGAGATGGAGGTGGCTGCCTGATTAGGGAAAGAGGGAGCCTACAGGAACAGAGCAATGGCCCAAAACATTATCTGTGCTTGTGCCGGCCTGGCATACAGTATGTGGGCCACAGTGGTGATGACGTTGATGCTGCTGTTTAACATGCAGCATAGGACTTCCCTTCCTGTATTAAGCACACATTGCTTTTTAATGTAAAAGCATTTCAATATCTCTCCTGGCAATAGGTGATATTGCTGTGCCTGATGTCCAGAGTTTTGCAGCAGTGGCAGGGACTAATGATAGTCTATAAAAAGCCACAGAACTTTCTCTCAGTGCACTTGGAAGGTGGCAGCAATAGGCCTGCAGCATATGAAGCACTTTGTCCATGAAGGTGCGAAGGAGCTGCTCTGAAGTGTGCTCTGGGTGCATGTTAAACCGAGGTCCTGACTCTCTGCGGTCATTAAATTTCCCAGGGTGTTTCACGAAAAGAGTAGGGGTGTCACCCCGGTGTCCTGGCCAAATTTCCCCCTGGCCTTTACCACTCATGGCCCCCTAATAATCCCCATCTCTGAACTGGCTTCATCACTCTGCTCTCCTCCCCACTGAGAGCTGGTGTGTGGGGAGCGGACTGGCGCATCATCCAGGTAGGGCTGCACACTGGTGGTGGTGGAGGGGATCCCCATCACGTATTAAGCGCTTTGAGTGGAGTGTCCAGAAAAGTGCTATATAAGTGTAAGCATAACAACTATATTATAGATGTGCATTATTCTTTTCTTGGCACAGAAGAGCAAGACAAGCCAGCAGTTTTTGCTCCTCCAAGATGTTAAAACTTGGTTTACTCCAAAATATTGGGACCATTTTCTTTGGACTGTGGGAGGAACAACACACAGACGTGGGGAGAACAAATTCTATGCAGACAGCACCCCATTTCTGGACACTGTAAAGCAACAGACCTAACCACTGTGCCATTCTGTCACTCTAACACTGTTCATTAATGGAGACAACTATCGTGTGTGTAGCAGGAACTTGAGATGACTACCCTTCTGTGATCTAGAGCTTACATTGTGGATAGGAAAGCAATAGTTTTCAAATACAGTGGAACACAGTGGAGAAAGTGCTTAGTTAGGCTTTATGTAAATACAGTGTTTTACATGAAGAGGTTTCAAGTTACAGTCACTGATTACTCAGCTACAAGCCCTGCAACACATTTCGAAGCGGCTGTTCTCAGTGGGGTTAAAACAGTCCAGTAGCTTTGATCCAATGCAATCAACTAACAGTGGTTCAGGAGTGCTAGAACAGGGTCAAAGAAACAACACCTGAGCTTCACTTTAAAGCACAGAGGCATGGCTTGTGCTTCCAGTACAAACCAGTTTCTCTTGGCTAACAAAGCCCCACACTAACCAAACCAGACGAACTGCCTGCATCAGCAAATCTAATTGTTAGCATGTGAACACACTTTAAAATGCTGCCTTTGGGCCCAGACCAGCCACCATTTATCTCCTCAGCTCTGTGCTGTCTTCAGAGAAACAGTGCACATCACTGTTAATTAACAAATTAAAGACAGACCTTTACTGTAAAGCAGAGATGGAGCTGCATTTAATATGTTCCACATCCCTTGAAAATTCAATCATGGCTTCATAATTCAATTGAGGGCTCATTCTTATTGAATTCCACTATGACAATATTATTCAACAGAGGTTGCTTTGAATACAAAATGAGGCAGCAGCTAATGTTTGACTGCTGTGATTGCTCTTTCAAAAGGGAGGCATAGCAAGCAAGGCTTGACTGGTAATGATTAATGAACAGTCAATTTTCCAATCTAGGGCCCCATATGGTAAGGGTGGCAAAGGAATAATGCAACTGGGGAGGAAAAAAAAAATCGACATGAAAATTAATGAACTCTTTTCAACCACATTAGCCATGTTTAACCGCTGCTGTTGCAATTTGCATCTAAATTGACCTACTTCAGGTTGCATATATACTTATACACATATACAGCAGATAGTATAGAAATTGCCCCTACCTTGTAGAAAAGACCTGGAACAAATACAGAAAAACAGACAGAGACCAAACATCCAGATCAATACGTGGACATAATAAGGAACTTGATACATCATTTAAAGAAACACAGATGGTGGCTAAATTAGTGATGAATGCGTGCTAGTTTGCCCTATATTTGAAGGGTCATTTCCCAGAACAAACTTACTCACACGTGAACTCATAAAGCCTTTCATATAATTTTAATGCATGGGTTCCTGCTAGCCAAGGGCTTGTTTTAGATCAAATAGGTAGCCCATTTAGCAGTGGGGACTCCGGGCTGCAAATTTTTTTTTTTCCTTCTGATCCGAGGCATCTGGGATTTTAAATCTGCTTTCTGCAAGAGTTGTCACTTGGATTAAAGATAAAAATTTGGATGTAAAAAAACTGGCCACCATAGCCATGCTAATGTGCTCAACCTGCTTCACAGCAGCTTTGTACTTAACTACCAGCACTGGAAATCATCGTTACAGACGTTGCAATCAAAAAGGGAGGAATGAGTTGTTGAAAACCAGTGAATCCAGTTTTTGCTACAGAATCTCATTTGATGAGCACACAGGTTTGGGATTCATCAATACATTCAGAGGTCAGACAGGGGCCCTGGGGTCACAACCCTGGAACTGAATCACTTCCAGGGTGTTGTAGGTGTGGTCAACAGCTCACTTTCTGCAGGTTGATGGGAAAAGATAAAGACGGGAGGTTTACCAGCTGAACCCTATTCTTCTGTGCTTATTGGCTTGTGAGTAGTTGCTGAGATCCAGTTGTCAGAAGCAAAAGAAATATGACTTGGTTTTCCCCTTACTTGCACCTTGATTCAAAAGCGTTTGGGCAAAGGAGCTTAGAATGTGACCCATCCAACTTGCTGGTATTTCCTACTGTTGTACAAATCCTATCTACCCCTTTCTTAAAGGACCCCACCGAATAACTTTCACCTATGTGGCTTGGGAACTGGTTCCACACTCACCCACAGTTCTTCACGTACAGATTTGTCTCCTTTCTGGGTCAAATGGCCCCCCGAGTTTCAACTTGTGTTTCTGGGTCCTGATGATTCTGTCGATCTTGATCTTGAGTAAGCATGGCCAATGCTTTTCAGAATCCCGAATACCCAAGTCCAGTGCCAACATTAATTTTCTCCATTGCAGTCAAAGAGATTCAGTTCCTTTAGTCTGTCTGAATACATTGCAATCCCCTACTGCAGTTAAATAGCAGTGTCCGTGTTTAATCGCAAGATATTTAATACCCCGTGTGTTTTATACAGCCAGTGCCAGCAGGTAAGAAACGGTGACCTACTTTGGCTGCAATTCTGCACAAGGAATCTGGAAAATAAATGTGTGTAAATCTGGGGAAAAAAAATGTGTTTTGTTCCCCTACTGGGTCTCTTTTGCTCCCTTTGGCTGCTGCCTCCTGAGTGCTAAACTGAACAGCAGTGGTAGATGGAATCGAGCTCTCCAATACAGAGCAGAGCCAGCTGGTGCCTAATTGAACTAGCACCTCACGGCGAAGATCAGGGATGGGGAGAAGCCCAGCTCTGCGGCTAGCTGATAAAGCCCCTGTCCCCGCAGGAAGGGGTTTGTTTTTTGGCTGTGTCGCCTTACAGCAGAGATCGGGCCGGTGCCTGATGGGATGCTGCTTGTCCCTTGTTCAGATCTCTATTGGCTTCAATACCCCGCCCGGCTGCTTCCACTCTGCGCAAGATGGGATTTTCTCCGAGAGGTGTCTCCTGCACGGAGAGCCCACGCTACCTGCCTCATCCTCCGGGCCTTTCTTGTGCTAGGATTCAACCCCCCTCCCTTGCAGAAAGAGACAAACCACCACAGAGTCCTCCTGCCCTAATTCAACACTAAGCATACTTGCACTGCGAGCTGCTTGCTCGTACCGTGGATTCAATAATCACGTAAAGGAAAAATGGCACTTGTCCTTGTTTCTGAAAGTGATTCAGAATGATGTGGACTAGTGCTCCTGAACAAAAGTAGTTATCGTTATGTCACTTTCGCCTTTTTAAGCTTAACAAGATGCTTTAATACATACCATTTTAGGTATATATATATATGTATTCATGTAAAGGTTTCTGTTTTGTGATTCTCTGTATTTATTTGTGAAAAGAAAAGAAAGTTCTTAAATCAGACCGTGTGCTTGCTCTGCCCAGGCTCAGCCACAGAGCTGGTTAACGCACGCTCTCACAGGGGCTGTCCTCGTCGTTTTGAAAAGCCCGCACACTCACCGGAGTCGGGCAGCTGGCGCGGAGGTGCACGGCTTTGCACGCTGGAACAGCTGCGCGGTGCGGCGGGCAGCGGGCAGGGACGCCCCGCCGGGTCGGGGCAAGCCGCCGCCCTTGGCCATGCTTCCCAATTCAAGACGCCTGGCGGAGCAATTATGCGCCTCTTCAAAACTGTCCGTCACCCCCCCACACACACACACACTTTTTTAAAAGAGCTTAATCTTGTAACAAACGTTTGAACATCTGAGGCACGCAGAGCGAGCAGCACATGCCCCAGGGTATGTCCAACACCCTTCATATTGCATCATCTTGCGTTTAATACCCTGCAACTCACAACTGGCAGCCCCACTGAAGCTCAGCACTGTGAGCTTGGATGAGAGACCTCCAGGGAAACACTAAGGCTGCTGCTGGTAGAGGTGTTAGTGGGGCCAGCAGGGGGCGCTCACCCTGTGGTCTGTGTAGGTCCTAATGCCCCAGTATAGTGACGGGGACACTATACTGTTAAAAAAAAAAGGCACAGTGCTTTTAAGGAGATGTAAAACCTAGATCCCGACTCTTTGTGGTCATTAAGAATCCTAGGGTGTTTCTCAAAAAGAGTAGGGGTGTTACCCCGGTGTACTGGCCAAATTTCCCCTTGACCTTTACCACTCATGGCCTCCTAATAAGCCCCCTCTCTGAACTGGCTTCATCACTCTGCTCTCCTCCCCACTGAGAGCTGGTGTGTGGGGAGTGGACTGGTGCATCATCCAGGTGGGGCTGCACACTGGTGGTGGTGGAGGGGTCCCCATGACCTGTAAAGTGCTTTTAGTGCAGTGTCCAGAAAAGTGCTATGTACATATATAAATGTAAGGAATTACGATACAAAATCCCACTGGACATGTACCTTAATAAACCAGGATCCAGGTTTAATTCTGAGAAACAGACATTGGAATCAAGTGTTCAGCATTCAGGTACAATACACTTCTACGCACCTATTATTCACAGGCTGCATCTATTCTCGATTTGCTGCGAAAGTGTGAATCTTTTTTCCTAACAAATCACAGGAAATTCAGACAGACGGCCCCCCACAAGCAGGGACTCAGCCCCAGACTGAAATCGGGACGAAGTTAATGATTGACTCTCGACCTTCCGGTCGTCCTCGCTTGACCACACCGCAAGTATTCGTCAGGAGAGGGGAAAAAAAACACCGTTCACCCCGATCGACAACATTTCAGCCGAGGTTACCTGAAGAGCTGCGTGGGGTGGATCTAAAGGGTCAAAATCAGTTGTCTAGTCAGTTCTAATCCATTGAACTAGATCACAGATACATTTTAAAAGCGCAAATGTCTTTATATCTAAAAATAACACAGCTGGTTATGACCGCCCCACCACCAGCTCCTCCTCGCCGGTGTTTGGTCTTAATCATAAAAGTACAGCGATACGAGCGTTTTTGCTATATCATCGGCATCGCGGGTGAGACGCTACTGTTGTGTCCTTAGGCAAGGCACGTCACTAGGATTGCTCAAGTCATTTCCTTTCTGTTGAAATGGAATCGCCATTGTAAAAGAAGAAGAAATTTGAATCACCAGGTGAAATAAACGAATGAGAGAAATAACCCAGACCTTTAGATTTCGCTCTGTATTATCTAGGGATCGTCAACCCTGGTCCTACATAACCCCAATCCTATTAGTCAAAACAGGTCACCTGTATCCACACAGCGGCAACACCTGTAATCATTGATAAATCTGTTCAGTTGAGAGAACTCTGGTCCTTGAGGGCTCAGACGTTTAGCCCTAAAAGATCTTCAAATTAACTGTTTGATTGATCACAATAGTATTGAACACGTGACAATAACCTGAAAGACTTATTTTTCCTTCCATTTCCATGTTAATGGTGACCTGCAAAACATGAAACAAAGCTGGACTGGGGGATGTCCAGGAATAGGGCTGTAGTTCCCTTGCAAATATTTCGTAAGTAAAATATCAAATCATTTCCTCAAATGGATTTATAAATCGTTCCAAATTATAGACGTATGCGAAAACAGTCTGCACTGAAAGGAACTCTCAAAAAGGAACTCTTGCTTTACTCACACGTTATGCTAACCTGATTTCAACCCATTTTCTTTTGAACGCAGCTCTAAACGACTCATCTAGATGTTGCGGCGCTGCCTTTCACCTAAAAACCAGCAATAAAATTCGAGTTAAGCCTTCTGTTTAATTAAGTGGCTAGAATAATTCCCCCAGGCAAGTCTAAGGTATTCGTTCTGCCTTCTCCCTCATTCTCGCCCTTCGAAGAATAGCAATTAGTAACCGAGTAGCTACAGGGAGGAGGAGCTAGCTGTGCGGTGAATATCAATAAGACCTCGTCCGCCGGGCGAGGCAAGTCGGGGCTGGTCTGTCTCACTCTGCGGCGTTCAGCGAGCCGAGCAGCACCGCTCAGCTCTTGGGGTGGAAACGTGCAGTAACCGAATGGCTTTCTTGTATTTAATTTCGCGCAGGGCGGGCGACAGTACGCCTGCACGCAGACCCGACGACCTCTGAGTTTCGCGGCCAGGACGCCGGAGACAGCAACGCGATTTGGGGGAGAAAACTGAATCCCGGCAGAGTGCCGCCGAGTTGAGCTTGCAGCGGCCGCTCTTGCGCTGTGAACCTCGGGACTCGGGAGTTGCTCCACGCCGCCTTAGGTTTCCCGGTAAGGACTGTTCGCAGATCAATAAAATGCGCGTTTAGAAACGCTGCCCTTTCAGCGGGGTTCTGAGACCCTACGAACCGCGCAGCTAATTAAAAGCTCTGTCGGACTGGCTGGATTGTCCCAGTCTTTATGTATCTGAAGACGCAGGTGAAGCTGAAACTTTATGCGACTTCAAGAGGAATTGCACAGGCAGGGCACGGTTTAGAGGACTTAAAACTGACTTTCCCGCATAGCATTATGTGGTCTGAACCCGCACTTCTCTGATAATCTGTTAACCCTTCTTCGTTTACCGCTGGTGTAAGTTTTTCGGTCTTTGTTTTTTTTATGCAGTTTACAATGAAGTGTGTAATACTTCCAGGCGTTCTTAAGGTCCTGCAAAACGAAATCATAGGAGTCACTTAACGGGATCAGACTGTAACGCTGTTACGCAGAATTTTGGGTTTTATTTTACTTTTAAAATAAAACCAGATATTTCTTAAAATATTAACAATTACTTTTGGCCAGACTGTTCACTTACTAAGCCTCATCTACTTCGTAGATTTATTTTTACAGCTTTTTCGCTCATCTTTCTAGAAACAGCGTTTTCGGTTAGTTTTTTTTTTGGGGGGTCACTTAGCACGTTCCTTTTAGTACTTAAATTTCACTTTTCGAATCTGAATACAAATAGTCTAGTGATGTAAAGGTATTTTAATGTTTGAGCAATCGACGCTTAAATCGCCGTGAGACAAGTTCTGCACGCCTCTACACTTTGCGTGTTCTGTCGGTTTTTTTTTCATTTAAATGTGCAAGTCAGAAACAACACACCGCAATAATCCTTTACAGTTTTACGCGTTGCGAAGTGTCGTGAAGTGAACACGACACGCAAATCGGCATGATCGAAACGTGTTGCTTGCTTCTAAAAACCCCTTCGTATTGTGCAACTAAACCCCTCGTCTTTTCCTATTTGTTGGCCTTAAAGTAATGTTTCTAACATTTTTATTTTACTGACAGCGGTTCTTTGGTCACCCAAGGTGACTTTTAGTGCCTTCCCAGTAACATTTGATGCCTACATTTGTACACAAAGTGCACAAGGGACAAGTCATTTACAGTAAACAGTGGTTATTTGCGCGTCAGCAGTTTCATGCGAAGATAATGAGCGGTATCCTGGAGAAGATCAAAGCTGGGAGGTTTCAGTGCTGCAATGAGGGGAAGTTGCCATACATTCCTAACCTCTGAAACTAGGCGGGGCAAATCGTTTGCTTAGGAAAGTGTAGTTTCACGGTGTCACAGTTCTTATAATGTTATAAACATTTCTGGAAGGGGGAAAAAAAACGCAGCTAAGTCTGTGAAGCTCAAACCTCTTTGCCAACTGCTGGCTTCACGAAGTCAAACCTTTAATTAGCGACTTCCTAATCCTGCCGGTATGCCTTCAGTTATGAGGGTCTTATCACATTTTCCTTTTTTTGCAGTGATTCATCTTTGCTTCCAAAGTTTATTGAGCTTTTTTTTTTGTTGTTGTTCAGCCCTGTAATTAAATGGCCCAATGGAGTACAGATTGTATTTTTTTGGAAAGACAAAACAATCCTGTAAATGTGAACGCTGCTGTTCCGTGTTGCACGGTAACATTTTATTTCATGAACAGCGGACAGCTGTGATGTGTTCTTGCGTGGTGAAATGGGATTTCTTTATTTTCTCAGCTTTGGAGCAGTAAAGTGGCTGCAGGTTTGTTTGTTTTTTCCTGTCTAAATTCTTACGTCCAGATGGCACAGTAGTGCAGTGGTTTGCATTGCAGCGCTGGGGCCCTGGGTTCAATTCCTAGGGTAATATCTGTGGGGAGTTTGTGCGTGGGTGTTCCGGTTACCTTCCAAGGTCCAAAGACATACTGGTAGGCTAACTGGCTTCAGGGAAAACTGGAGTGTGTGCGTGTGTGTGCGCCCTGGGACGGCCTGGTATCCCATACAGGGTGTATCCTGCCTTGAGCCCATTGCTTGCTGGGATAGGCTCCTGCTCGAACTCCCTTGCTAGAAGATGGATGGGTGGATGGATGGATGGATGGAAAGAAATTCTCATTTCCATGACTGGCAATTAAAAGGGTTAAGGTTTAGACCGAGGGTTCAAGGCCGTTAAAGGCTTGGCCCATGGGAGAACGAGAGTCTTACCAGCGCCCTGTGCTTCCGTTCCAGGCGGAAGCGAGCCACCGGAGATGTCCGTGAGCAGCCACGAGAACCGGAAGTCGAGATCGAGCTCCGGATCCATGAACATCCAGCTGTTCCACAAGGCGTCGCACGCGGAGAGCCTGCTGACGCACCTCAACCTGCTGCGGAAGCGCCACCTCTTCACGGACGCGGTCCTGCGCGCGGGGAGCCACCGTTTCCCCTGCCACCGGGCCGTGCTGGCCGCCTGCAGCCGCTACTTCGAGGCCATGTTCGGCGGGGGCCTGAAGGAGAGCCGGGACGCCGAGGTCAACTTCCACGACTCCCTGCACCCCGAGGTGCTGGAGCTGCTGCTGGATTACGCCTACTCCGCGCGGGTGATCATCAACGAGGAGAACGCGGAGTCCCTCCTGGAGGCCGGCGACATGCTGCAGTTCGAGGACATCCGCGACGCCTCCGCCGAGTTCCTGGAGAAGAACCTCCATCCCTCCAACTGCCTGGGCATGATGCTGCTCTCCGACGCCCACCGGTGCGAGCGGCTGTTCGAACTGTCCTGGACGATGTGCCTCGCCAACTTTGCCACCCTCTTCAAGACGGAGGACTTCCTCAGCCTCCCCAAAGACAAGGTCCTGGAGCTCATCTTCAGCGAGGAGCTGGAGGTGGAAGACGAGAGCTTGGTCTACGAAGCGGTGATCGACTGGGTGAAGGCCGACGTGGCGCGGAGGCGCGGCGACTTGCCCGATCTGCTGCGCTGCGTGCGGCTGGCCCTGCTCCCCGAGTCCTACCTCCTGAAGAACGTGGCCTCGGAGGAGCTGGTTATGGGCCACAAGCTGGGCCGGGAGATCGTCGAGGACGCGGTGCGCTGCAAGATGAGGATCCTGCAGAACGACGGCGTCGTCACCGGCTTCTGCGCCCGGCCGCGCAAAGTCAGCCAGGCCCTGCTGCTCCTGGGGGGTCAGACGTTCATGTGCGACAAGGTGTACGCGATCGACCAGAAAACCAAGGAGATCACCCCCAAAACCGACATCCCCAGCCCCCGCAAGGAATGCAGTGCCTGTGCCATTGGCTGCAAGGTCTATGTGACCGGCGGGAGAGGCTCGGAGAATGGGGCCTCCAAGGACGTTTGGGTCTACGACACTCTCCACGACGAGTGGTCCAAAGCAGCTCACATGCTGGTGGCCAGGTTTGGCCATGGATCCGCTGAACTGGATCATATCCTTTATGTCGTCGGTGGGCATACGGCCCTGGCTGGCTCTTTCCCAGCCTCCCCATCGGTCTCCCTCAAGCAGGTAGAGCAATACGACCCGCAGGCCAACAAGTGGACGCTGGTGGCCCCACTGCGGGAGGGCGTGAGCAACGCGGCGGTAGTCGGGGCCAAGAACAAGCTCTTCGTCTTCGGGGGCACGAGCATCAACCGGGAGAAGCTGCCGAAGGTCCAGTGCTTCGACCCTTGCCAGAACAGGTGGACGGTGCCTTCCGCCTGCCCCCAGCCCTGGCGGTACACCGCGGCGGCCGTGGTGGGCAGCCACGTCGTCGTGATCGGGGGCGACACCGAGTTCTCCGCCAGCTCGGCCTACCGCTTCAACAGCGAGACGTACCAGTGGTCCAAGTTCGGCGACGTCACTGCCAAGAGGATCAGCTGCCATGCTGTGGCCTCTGGCAACAGGCTGTACGTGGTGGGCGGCTACTGTGGTGCCCAGCGATGTAAAACCTTGGACTGCTACGACCCCTCTACTGACACATGGGACAGCATCGCCAGCGTGCCCTACTCCCTCATACCCACGGCCTTCGTCAGCACGTGGAAGTACCTCTCTGCGTAGGGCAGAGGACAACACGGACGCTTGAAAGTAAGATACTTAAAGTGCTACAGTACCACACTGCCATGTCTGCAAACGATATTCATGATGCCCACTCAAGGAAGTGTGGTGGTATGATTTTGCACCTTTTTTCATTCTCCTATACTCAGAAAATATTGCTCAAACAGATGCAGCAGACTGGGCATTATATCTACAAGACGGAAGAGCTGATATAGTGTGTGAACACGCTAAATACAGTTGTGTGCCCCTTTAAGAGTGCTTTAATCCACTGTAGAAAGTTTACTTCAGGCTTTAAAATAGCATTCCTCTGCAGTGTATACTGGAGGCTCAGGTGGAAGTGGTAAAGAAACTTCAGAGGTTCAAATAGTCCCAGGAAGCACATCTGTTTTTTTTTTCCTGTAGAAAGTTTGGGAATGTATTATAGGGATGCTTTTTTGGAATCATACAGTAAAAAAGACCCCCCCCCCCCCACTCACTTCCAGAGAAAACTTGAGGATAAACATCTGTTTTCCCACGCAGGTTAAACAGGATGAAATTCATAAATCTTGGAAGAGCATGCTAGGTCGTTTTTAGGAGACAGGAGTGGGGGGTGGGGAGCCTATCAGGAGAGAGGTTTTTCCTGTTTGGTGACCTGAGAAGCATCCTGTGTTCGGGCGTATTGCCTTTCAAGCTGACTGTGCTGGGAAAGTTTTCCTGCGACCCTCTCAGGGACAGGAAGGGAAACTGGGGCCGGGGGGGCTCTGAAGAGAGCTCCCTTTAAAGGAGCAAGTAAGATCGGGCAGCAGCACAATTTAAACAGTGTAAGGCATGCTGGGGTCACAATTACAAAGCACAAATACCACTCCGTGCTAACAGTGACCATTTAGAGTTTGTGTGTGCAAACAGTGGCCTAGAAATACTTTAAAAGAAACAAATCTTGAACTTCACAGAGTTAGTGTATGTTTCTCTCCTTTAAGTAATTACTGTATTTCCTGAGACCAGGTTCTTAAAAGCTCTAAGGTTTGAAGCAGAACCCTCAGGAACAGGGTTTGTAATGCTGTCGGGTGGCGACTGTGATAATTGACCCGGGAGTTGATATGATTGCTTGTGAGGCGGCCAGGTTGCAAAAAAGAGAGGTTTAAGGTTGTAAACTTTACTGTCCAGTAAAATGTTCTGGCAGGGCTTCATTTAGAGAGCCTTTATTTGCTTGCAGACCAGGCCAGAACTAGCTATTGAAACTGTATGCTACAGGAAGAGGCTGAAGGATAATCATGCCTTTTTTTTGTCCACCCGTCATGGGTATTATATAGTGTGTGGGTGACTGAAGTCTTTTTCTCTTCCGGCCGGCTCTCTTTCATCGGAAAATGTGCCTCTTTGTCTTCCTAAACAGTGGAGCTTGCCTGTATAAACAAGGATCTTTTTACCAGTGCAGTGCAGTGCAGTGCCTGTGGCCACATTTTACTGAAAAGATTCAGACAGTAGAACCTAAAATAGCCTTTGATGAAATTCTAAAACAGAATTGCGACACAAGACGATGCTACTTTGGGCAGAAACGGGCAATTGGCAGTGTGGCACAAAGGTTTCTGTAGAAGCATCAAAATATTTTCTGACCCCACTCTTTCAGTATAAGGGACACGTTTCACAGCCTGTCTCTTGAAGTCCTGTTGCTCCCCTGTTGTGGAGTTCCGACATATTAATCGCTTTTTAAAGGCGAGCCGTACCTGATCCTGTTCACTCCTTAACACAGAACAGTGCTAAGTTTAAGCTGGAGTCTGTCGCATGGCTGTGGAAACTGCAGCAGGCATGGGGAAGGGGACTTTAACATTTCATTGAAATCAAATTTCAAAAGGGTTTTTTAAAAAAAATCAGTTTTGCCATTTATTATAAGATTTTGTCAGTTGCTGATGGCAATATGATGGGCCGTCTTTGATGTTCACACATGCATTTAGCAACAGAGGGTGGAAACAGACACTGCATTCTGTACGACTTTGCATCTCGGAGAGAAAAATATTCCCTACTTCCGGACACACTCGGATTTTACCCTGGGACATGCAGGAATGTGGCCGCCAGTTCCCGTGTGCGGTCTGGCTCGGGAGGCCTCCCTGCACAGGATCTGCAGCGATTTTGCGCGGTGCAAGGCTTGTGCTCGTGCTAAATGAACCCAGGCCTGACGGCTGTGCTTCACTGCTGAAAACAAAACAAAAAATGAAAGAGTTTGTATTAGTCTAGGGAGAAGATCAAACATTCTCCCCACCCTCCAGCTGCAGGAACTAATCGGACAGCCAGAGATAAAGTCACCTTTGCTTCCTGCATTTATCTCTGACCTAGTTACCGAGTCACTCCTCCTCTGTGCATTATCATAAGCAAAAAAAAAGGCAGGAGGTTCACCGGTCACTGAACAATAAGCCAGATACGACCTTTTTCACTGACATCCGTGGGGGGGGGAGGAAAAAACCTACTGACATTTCGGGCCCTCCATCTTGTGCAAATCTAACCTCCCCAGTCAAGTCTTTTTTTTTTCTTGTCAGACTCTCCCACCTCTCTCCTGATTTGCCTTGTGGTTGACACTGGTCTTCCCTGTGTTGGCTGAGAACAAAAAGGGCTGTTTGAACTTGTAACAGTAGCTCATTAACAGGCACTCTCAGTCAA